CGGTGCTACTATGATAAAGCTCAAAAGGTTAGATTTGAGCTAATATGCAAAAAAGTTCGAGTAAAATTGAACTACATTTGAGTCAATTTAAGCTCGAAGCTTGATGTGTAACGAGTTAGGCTTCAAACATGGGCTTCGAACAATCTAAGAGGGGTTGTCTGGTTGTTTTTTTTAATTATGTTTGGTATAGATTAAGTTGGATGTATGGATTAAACTAGATCGTTGTTTTTTTTTTGCTGAATAAACAATCTGAATGATAAAAATACCTATTTTACCCCTAATCCAAATATAACATAAAACACACAACCTTTAAAACCCATTTTTACTACTAAACAACAAGAAACAAATAGAACCAAAATAGAGTAAACTTCACTCTCTTCACTCTTGGTCCCTGAGGTTTGGTAATTTCTTTGAAAGTAGGACCTGAACTTCTATACGTCAAGTTTTCATCCCTCAAATTTGGATTTTGCTTTGAAAATGGGACATCATCACTAACTATGTTAAAAATGTTCATTAGAGCCGGGGGGTAAAATCATCAAACCATATTTTCTCCCCTTTGTTGTATTTATTTTTATTTTTCCTTATTAAAAAAAAGTGAAAGCAGTGACCAACTATGTTATTAACTCTAATAGAGTATGTGTCAGGGATTAGGATTTCTATGAATTGTATTTTCTGTATCAATCAATTTACAAAGAGAGGTTATATATAGCCGAGATATACAATTGACCAGGAGACTATTTAGGAGCTAAATTAGCTAAGATATTTGATTAGGAGACTATTTAGGAGCTAAACTAGCAACTCATTTACAACTACAATTAACTATAGAACAACAATTTAAATATTAAATTAAATCCAATGATTTAATTTATGCTTAGGTCGTAATACCCCCCACAAGATGGAGGATCCATCGGAGACTCCAATCTTGGAACGTAAATGAAGAAATGGGCTCCGACTGAAAGGTTTGGTGAGAGCATCTGCAAGTTGATCATTTGAGTTTATGTGAAGAACTTTCAAGGAACCATCGGCTACTCTTTCACGTACAAAGTGGTAATCCAAGGCGACATGTTTCATGCGAGAATGATAAGCCGGATTAGCACATAGATAAGTGGCACCTGTGTTATCACAGAAAAGTGTAGGTGGTAAGGACTGTTTGACACCAAGATCAGTGAGCAAGTTTTGAACCCATGAGACTTCAGCTGCTGAATTTGCTAAGGCCTAGTATTCTGCTTTAGTAGAGGATCGAGAAACAAAATTTTGACGAGCCGATTTCCATGAAATAATGTTGGAGCCCAGATAAATTATGTAAGCAGTAGTAGAACGACCTCCATTTAAGATACCTCCCCAATCAGAATCAGAGAAGGCTTTTAGATCAAGAGAGAAACCTCGTTTAAGGTATAGTCCATAGTGTAGTGTACCCTTTAAATAACGTAGAACCCATTTTAACGCCTACCAATGCATTACTGAGGGAGAGTGTATAAACTGAGCTAACCGATTCATAGCAAAGGATACGTCAGGCCTTGTGAAGGTTAAGTATTGCAAGGAACCCACCAGCTTCCGATATGGTGTTAGATCGACACTTGATGACTCGTCCATGGGTTTGAGAACTAGAGAATAGTGTAGTGGAGTAGCCACATCTTTAGCACCATCCGTACGAAATTGAGTTAGGAGGTCTTGAATATGACGGTGTTGGGATAAAAATAGACCGTTGGTGGTAGGGATAACTTCAATGCCAAGAAAATGGTGTAGGGGACCCAAGTCTTTGATGGAAAAACAATTTGCTAAGGTACTGATGAATTGATCAAGAAAGGCATTGTTGTTACCTGTGAGAACGATATCATCAACATATACCATAAAAAGGCACATAATATTATCGTGATTGTAGACAAAAAAAGATGCATCAGCTCGTGATTTTTGAAAACCACAAGTATGAAGGAAGGATGTCAATTCCATGTACTATACCCGCGGTGCTTGTGTAACACTTGAGATTTTCTAAAAATCTTTGTTCCATACACGTCAAGGGTTTTCGTCTCGTTATTGATGTTTATGTCTTATATTTAAAGTTTATAACCTTTTACTTAATAAGCTTTTTTTTAATATAGAAAAGGAGAAGGGGGGGGNACAGCCCCTAAATCACAGGGGGGTTTTCATTCTATATCTTTATTAAAGTTTTAAGATGTTATTGTTTGAAATTGTTTGATACTTTAATTGGGTTTCATACTCATGTAATTTGTAA